ACAACAACTGTCATTTTATATTCCAATTCATTATTCCAGAGTTTAATCATGCACATGTGTCACTAACTATGGTTAGTTTGTCTACGCGAGCGTCTTAATTTCGATCTGCAGTTGAGCAACTGATGTTAAGGCCGTTTACGCGCACTAACATCGATGTTAACATCAATGTTAAAGAGCCTAACTTCGATGTTAGACTGCGCGTAAACATAGCATCAATTGACTACAATTTGTTCTGATTTTGAGTCGGCTGAGTGAGAAGTCGGGACTTTGTGGACTGTATTTTTTAGGATGTTTGGATGCTAGAACAGTCGGGACTTTTGAACGGTGTAAATGAGTTGGCTGACACTATTTAACAGTAACAGTTAACGATTTATTAAACACTAAAATCACAGTAACAGAAAAATAACAATAAAAGAGTCTTTGAATTGTCTGTACAGTCTTGAATTCACGGAAATTTCACATAGAGTTCACTGATGAGTAGAGGATCACAGGAAAGTTGTAAGTTTTCCTGTACTGGTCTCTGCACCAGGAGTAGCCTGATTTTTTTGAGTAGTCTGAGTTTCATTGTGTTGGCGTCAGCCACACAGACACAAGCGAGTTGTTCGTGTATGGATCTTGTGTGTGTGTCTGTCCATGAGGCCGTGAGGCGTCGAAGCCGACATCATTCGCGCCTTTTGTAAGAAGGTGGTGATGCGGACCAACATGAGCTTCCTGAGGATGTCTTCTGAGAGGTAGACTGCCTGATGAGTTCATAATCATCACTATAGATGATTAACTGGTGAGTTAGTCCATGTCTGAGGAGTTGTCTGGGTTTTCACTAGAGAGTTCGACTGCGTGAGCTCTCTGCTAGTACACACGTACCGAGTTGACTGTTACAACGAGTTGTCTGTGGGTGGGCATTGTCCGATGATACCCAAGAGTCGTCCGAGTACGAGCTACGAACGAATACTCGCAGTAACCGGCGAATACTGAAGACTACGGTCCATGTTTCTCGAAAACTCTGCGCTCTCGAAGCTTCTAGGCCCTCTGAGAAGGGATATATAGGAATATATCCTAGGCCCGGCAAAAACTTCAGAAGAGACTAAAGCTCCCATGGAAAAACGCGCCTATTTATCCGGTGATTCGAGCTTAGTCAGCAAGCTCGATGAGGTCATTTCAGGTCAGGTACCAATGTCCCTCTTGCTTTACGGGCTTCTACAGGCTTGCCTTAAACATTGATTGTTCTTTTTACCTGGCCTTAACTCTGCTTCATGACCCCTACCTCGCTCTTAGTCCTCTTGGCTTCATGCACCTATCTTCCCATTCTATTACTTTTTTATTTACCTTTAAAAAAATTTACTTCAAAACAATAATTAAATACTCCGGTCCATAACGTAGTATTTCTGATGCAATTTTCCGATTTATTCCTATAAAGTTTTTTTTATAAGATTTTATCGGAATGTTTAACCAGGGTGGGGCTATTCTTTTTCTGTTCTCGTTCACGCTATCACACAATTTTAATTCTTTCTGAAAAAATTGATCTTTTTTAAGTCAATCATTAGAGTTTGTGTGTTTCTAAATCGACAAAAACATGCGTCTATTCATTCTGCAGTTAAAACAATCAATATTTCTGGACTATCAATAGTAATTTGAGTATTTTAAATGACATTCACATTGCATTCCATGTTGAACTAACGCCACGTGCACAATCATTGTTCAAAATGACTTGAGAAGTGTGTTGAGCTCGTGTAGGAAGTCAATAATACCGAACACACCAAGTTTAGTTATTTTATCAGATATATTTTATTGCAATCTGAGGAGTAGATAGGAAAAATCGTAGATGCAGTAATGTCTGAATGTATTTCAATTATTTCACATAATTATTTAAAATATATTTTAAGAGAAGCTGAAATGAATAGCAATGAAACTTAAGGATTGAGGTTAACGATTATTACTCAAGTTATTGTTATTGTTTTTTTAGTTTTCCTAAAATTTCGTTAAAATAGAAAGGGTTTCGAAGAATAGTTGAGAGAATCATCTTTCAGTTATTTTATTGCTTTTGGAAAACCACGTGGCGAAAAGCAAAAAAATTTTTAAAAAAAGAGTACATGACGTAAGAAGAGCGTTAGCTTTCCAAAAAGGGAAAGACCATGCAAAGGGACTTGTGCGCACCGGAAGCAAGGGACTTCTACTTTCGTCACATTCGACTGTATAGATACGTAAAGTTTGATGCATCAGTCAGTTGTCGAAAAAGTAAGATCAAGATCGGATTGTTGTGGAACATCTCTTGAAATCATAAGTCTTGTTTTGTTTTGAACATTGTATTGATAATTTTTCAAAGTTTGTAAATTTTTGTCTTAAGTTTATTTGATCGTCAAATTCTTTTTCATTTGATATTTAAATTAATTCGCGAGTAAAAGTGAATATTGCGCTGACTGAAGCATCAACTAAAGACCAGTTTATTGTAATTCATCTCGACCAGAGTAAAAGAAATCGTCTGTTGGTAACGTTTAAATTGTTATTATAATTCTTCAATAATTTTCAATCAATAAATTTCGTTATTATTTTTATATAAATCACACATTTTCACTTTCTCTATCGAAGATCCCCTGATCCCTGTGTATTGGTCGAGAGGCTAGGACTAAAAAGAGGAACTTAAAGTCTCTAAGGTTAAGCATATGGTTTATATTGACACCTTCAAAGAGCAAAAATACATAACAATACTTTTTTTTGTAGAAAAACGTTGTTATGAACGTCTTTTTTTTAAACAATCTTTGAACATTTTATTGCCATTTTAAGAGTGGATAGGTTTTTTTCCGCTCTACAAAATGGCTATCTCTTATGTTCTAAAAAAAATTTTTTTCGCCTTCAAAAAAAACACATTTTTCGTAACTTTCGCCCCTATTTGAGGGCGGACAATATTTATACTTTGAAAGACTGTCCTCAGCAAATTTTTTTAACTTCATCCAGAAAAACGTAGAGAATCAGAAGTATTCTCCATAAATACGGAAATTATTACGCGATACTCAGTGAAGAGATAAAGCGGGAAAAGAGTGGGAAAAATCCTATCTACTCCTAAGATTGCAATAAAATGTTCAAAGATTGTTTAGCAAAAAGACGTTCACAACAACGTAAGAAATCGAAAAAATTAATTTTTCTTTAAATTTCAACGGGAAAATATTCAGAAAGCGATTCTGAACATGACATAATTTTTTGAAATTTTATAAACGATGATTAATATTTTTTTTTAATTAATTAATTTGAAAGGCGCCTAACGGCACATTTCGCTGAAACGCCCAAAATGGTCAATTTTGGTATGCGCGTTCAGAGCGCTGCAGTGAGAGGTAAAAAAATGTGCTTTGCCAAGTTTCAATTGTTGATAAACAATAATAAAAATCATTTACAAACAATGACATTTGGCACAAATGTTCTTTCCGTTAATCTCTACTAGAAACTGCCATCAAAAATTTTTTTCAACTCTTTTAAAATTAATGCATGGGGCATTCTCACTGCTCTTAGACTACACTGATAGAAGAATTTATTTGCTAGGACTGAATGAATTCATTAAAATTATGTTTTAGCATTTTTTTGATACAAGTAAAGATTTATTTGTAGCTAATAAATCTTCTTTGCTCAGCTGTCTAAAATTATTATATTTATAAAACCATTAAAAATTCACACGAAATTAAATGGTTATCATGTAATTGCTTGTCGAGCTATTGTTTAAAAGAAAAAATTAATTTTAATCATTACGAAACCGTTATTTTTTATTTAAAAATTTTCAATAAATAAAAGTTATCTCATAACATAACCTAACATTTGATTATGCTTTACCGTCATTCTACCTTACCATCGAGCCCAATCATAGTATTTATATGAGAAATAAATATTTGTTTGCAGCTAAGAAATCATTCATTGAGCCAAATAAATCTACTCTAATGAATAATCTCTCAACTGTTAACAAATGTTCATTCGATTTCTCTTTCAATAACATATTTATGAGATGCTCATAAATTACGTTAGATACAAAGAAATACTTCTATCAGTGTACATTGGGTGTTTACTGGAATATAATCGAAAGATCTATCAGTCAATTATCATTATTATCTTTAACTACTAAAACAAATATTCATTGCAATGAAACAATATTAATCTTGTTAATATGCTTTGAGAAAGGGCGAAAAACATGTAAATTTGATATAATTCGCCACAATGCATGTTTTTTTTCAATCTAAGAAGTAATGATACTTAATCAGTATTTAGTTAGTTTATATATTAAGCATAAATGTAGCTTTCGATAAAAAGAAATATTCAAAAAGTTTACTTGTTGATGACTTACGATCAATTTTTAAAAAAACATTGATACTTTTAATATAAAAAATTCAATGTCTAGAGAACCATTAGTTATAGGAAGTTGAGACTGGTCTCATTGTTTTTTTGTAAAAAGCTCCACAATTTACATGCATCATGTCTCGATCTCTGATGCCTTGTTTTCAAAATAATTAATAAAAAAAAAAGCTGTTCATTTAAAAACAAAAAAGCACATTTCGCCATGTGGTTACAAATTCATACTGATGTCTTTCGTCACGAAAAACAAACTAACGAACAAAATTAGTAAATGGCATATTGACTGGACTATTCTGTTCAAGTATTTAATTTAGACGCTGAAAAAATGTAAGAATTTATGATTGTTTAAAATTCTTGAACATAATCTGACAAATTTTAAAATATTCAAGTACTCTTGAATAATCCCTAGTAACCAAATTAACGTAAAATTAACGGCAGATTTACGCAAGTCGAACTAAGTTTGTCATTTACCTGTGTATTTACCGTTTTTCTGAAACAGACAATCGCCAGATTGTCTTCAGGAAATTTAACATCAGACAGTATATAGCAATCAGATGCCTAACATAACTGATGTACAAAAGCATGACGAAAATCCTTGCGTTAGGTCTAGCTACTAGGGATATCATCAATTCAATTTATTAAAATTGTAATAGTCTATAATTTTAATGACATACCGAACAATCGGTCCAATACGTATGAAGTATTGGTTGATCTGTCAGAATATTTTGCTTCCTATTTTTAATCAATTCAAATGAAAATCGTGAGAAATCTACTTTTAATTTGACTTGCTTCGTAGGACGACCAAAAGATCTACGCCACTCAATGGCATCTAACGATATGCTGTGCGTTAAATTTTGTTGTATAGTTGAAAACAGTGAGTCATTCCCAGCATCTAAATTTCAAATTAATAGAATTACTTAAAATTTAACATATAAAAACTAAAAATTTTATGTATAAAAATTGTATTTTTATATAAACTTACAGGTTATAATTGATTTCCAGTTTTTTATCAGATACAAATTTTCATCTTGAGAGTGTAAATTGTCACGACGATTCATTTTTTAACATGCGTAAATATTGTCTAAATTATGTTATATAAAAATAAATTTTAATGAACATTGACTTTAGATAAGTGACAGTTATTATAATTGAAGTAGTAAATAAGATTCAGTAAGGTTAAAACCGAGTTAATATAAAAAATGAGTTTCCCATTAACAGGCTGCTATTGATTTATACCGATTTGATTTAAACAATTACGATTATTAAGACTACTGAATAGGCTAAAACTAATTAATTTCTTTAACGAAAAGAAATTATTGAGTCTGTTTAAAAACTTGACAGAATTTTATAATGAACACCTTAACTCATAAAGATATGTACAGTACTGGACATAAATGCTGTTTGATTTTTTAAAGGTTATGCATGCGAGTGACCTATACCGTCCTGTAGAAAATAATATGTACAGCATTTGGGATACACTGACAGAAAAAATGTGATAGCTAGAAAGTATACTAGCGGCAAACACAGAATATACTCAATTTGAGTATAATTATTATTTGATGCAAGTACATTTTATTTAAAAATAAAGTTTAAAGTGTACTGTACAATCATAATAACATTAACTTGACTGCAAATTTTTCATTACTCAATCCTAATATAATATTAATTTATACCAAAAATAGCGATTACTGAATTTTTGTAAATATTTTGTTTATCTCAAGTAGGTAGATAATAAAAGAAGATTACAAAGTTTACTTCAGTTGATAACATAGTTTTCTTACACTGAGGATCTTCCTTACTTTCCACAAGTGTATTTTATACGGAGATCCCATATAAAGCGTACTTATGCTGAGTATAATGCTGTTTTACACTTCAAAAACCATTTTATCATATTATGAATTCTTTTTTATTAATAAGAAAATACTTGTTACTTGAATCAAGTATATCAATTCTTTACTGCAAGTATATTATATACTTAAATTAAGTAAATAAAGTACTCATGCTAAAATTTTGTTCTTATAAAATTTAAAAATTTCAAAATATAAATAATCATATTAATAATACAAAAGTTACTGTTATACCTATTGATATTGGTAAATTTAAATTAGTGAGCATTACTGATGAAGTAACTTAATGATTAAATATTCAGTAATTAATAAGCAGATGAAAAGTAATCTTATAATAATTACAACAATTACTGTTGTACTTTTAAATACGTGGAGCTGCTGCACTTAGACTTGGCCTATTAAAAGTCTAACTTGTAATTTAGCGCTCAGCAATAAATTATTGATTGTAGGATCTTTTATGATAATTAATAATTTATTGAATGCCTATTAATTAATTCTAGGAAATTGACAAAATATTCTAATGAATTATCTTGAACATTTTTAACTATAGACGTGCCTCTAATTCATCAGTCTATCTTAATGAATGTAGTTCATCTTATTTTAAAAGATGATTTAGTTAAAAGACACAAATATTTTTTACAGATTTTATTAACATAATAATTTTACAAAATTTAGTTGAATTACTTAAAATTATAATAATTTTATAAAAACAGTTTCTATTTTTTTCATGTTATAATAATGTAATGTGATTATGTATATTTTGAAATTTTTAAATTTTATAAGAACAAAATTTTAGCATGAGTACTTTATTTACTTAATTTAAGTATATAATATACTTGCAGTAAAGAATTGATATACTTGATTCAAGTAACAAGTATTTTCTTATTAATAAAAAAGAATTCATAATATGATAAAATGGTTTTTGAAGTGTAAAACAGCATTATACTCAGCATAAGTACGCTTTATATGGGATCTCCGTATAAAATACACTTGTGGAAAGTAAGGAAGATCCTCAGTGTAAGAAAACTATGTTATCAACTGAAGTAAACTTTGTAATCTTCTTTTATTATCTACCTACTTGAGATAAACAAAATATTTACAAAAATTCAGTAATCGCTATTTTTGGTATAAATTAATATTATATTAGGATTGAGTAATGAAAAATTTGCAGTCAAGTTAATGTTATTATGATTGTACAGTACACTTTAAACTTTATTTTTAAATAAAATGTACTTGCATCAAATAATAATTATACTCAAATTGAGTATATTCTGTGTTTGCCGCTAGTATACTTTCTAGCTATCACATTTTTTCTGTCAGTGTATGTCTGCACCGTAATGCTTAAGTCTCTCTCCCTATACCGACTAGCAATATAGGAGTATTACATATATGAGTGCAACACAGTGTCGACCATACTATAGCAAAAACCTAATGCCAACTAAAGCTTGGTAACTTTAATACTTTCATTGGCACCACTACTTTTTCACAACGACCAGCAAATTAAGGCTGGGCTGAAGTCAGAAAGGCGACTGATTCCCCCTATCCAAATACATGGGATCGGGAAATTTCTAATTTCTTCGCCAATTTACAATTATTTCTATAAAATTAGGTACCAAATTACAGAGGAATTAATGCCGGACTGACGTAAACAACAATTTTTTGTATATAGTGAATATTTTTATTAAAAAAATTAGAAAGAATAATGAAAAAATTATGAATTGACTTACCGCGCTTAAATTTCAAGATGGCGGCCACATCATTCAGATGAAAAATCACTAATTATTTCATTTTTATACGTTTTTCGCCCAAAATTCGTTTTTGCGTCAGTCCTTGCCACCTGTCTGAATGTTAAAAAAATCAATTCATAGTATAAAATTGAATAATTTAGAAATAATTAGAAATCTTGTATTCCAGAGGACATTCTCTGGAAAATTAGTTTGAAAAAATTCTGATAGGTGACAGCATTATGCTCGCAGATGACCTCAGTCATCCATATTGAAAAAATGCTCAATCCGTATTCAGAACTGATGGTGCCCTGCATTTTGGCGAGTAAATTCTGTATGTGTGTGTACGGGTAATATATGTATGTGATGTAAACATAGTGTATCACTTTACAATGCCCTACACTTTGATGACTATTGCAGTTAGGATAAAAAAAAATGATGATACTCATTTAACATTAATTAATATAATACCTGCAAATAACTTCAAATACATATATTCATCCATTATTATCATTTTTATTAGGTATAAATGTTAATAAGGAAGCTCAATTCCAAGTCGGCGTATCCAAGCATGTAGTATAAAAACAAATATACATTAACTCAATATCGAGATTATGCTGGCCATGTGGTTAGGGCGTCAGAGTTCTATTTTGCCGGGCAGGGTTCGATCCCAGTCATAACCAATTTTTTTTTTTCTACTTTATTCGTTAGATTAGCATGTAATTATAATATTGACATGCTATAATTAATCTTTTATAACAATTTGATTTTTTTTTCTCTTTATTCATTGAATTTATTGACGCTAAGTCGAAAAATATTTGAACAGAGCCATAAACTTTCTTTTTGTATAAATACATTGATAATAGCCTGTGTTTAACAACTTATACATCTTTACATGTATTAACAATGTTATGTTATTAACAAGTTAATCATATTATTATCAACATTGAAAAGTAGTTTAAACAATCCGTGGCGAGTTCCGGCACTTCGCTGGCAAGCTCTACCCCCACTCTCTATGCCCAAGCCTGCAGCTTATAATTTTTGAGCATATATAAATGTTTTGTAATCATAATAGCTCGGTGGTTAACGCATCGGTCATTTATTTTTATGGGCAGGGTTCGATTCCAGTCATGGTAAAGTTTTTTTTTTCTTTTTCATTTGTTAGATTTGCATGTAATTATAATATTAACATGCTAAAAGTAATTGTTTACAACGATTTGATTTTTTTTTCTCAATTATTTATGTAATTTATCAACGTCGAGTCGGAAAACATATGAACAGGGTTATAAACACTTTTTTTACTATAGCTATATGAACGTAGCTTTTTTTTAAGCAATTTAGAAATATTTAGAAGTAGTTGAAATAATCCACGGGGATTTCCGGCACTTCGCCGGCAAACTCTATCCCTATCCTTCGTACTCAAGCCTGCATTATACAATTTATAAACATAAACATGATGTCAGAGATAATATGTTAGCTCTGTAGGTAGAACACCAAGCTTTCATTTTACCGATTAGGGTTCGATCCCAGTTATAGCCAATTTTTTTTTTTCATTAAAATTTTATATAAATACAATAATTGGTTGTTTGTAGAAGTTCAAAATCAATTCATAGTGTCTTTTAAAGACAACATTTTCTAAAAAAGAGAATTCATAGTAACTCGTTCCTCACCCTCAGCTTATTTTCAGAAAAACAAGTTTTTTTTCGTAATTAATTGGAAGAATAATGTAATAAAATATATGAATTGATTTATAAGTATATAAAGTCACTTGAACAAGAAACAGAAAAAAAAATTGCCTATGACTGGGATCGAACCCTGCCCAGCAAAATAAAAGGTCGGGGCTCTAACCACTGAGCTATTATCGTTCCAATTATATAAACGATGCTTGAAAATTATAAGCTACAGGCTTGGGCACAGAAAGTGGGGGTCGAGCTTGCCGGCGAAGTATCGGAACTCGCCGCGGATTGTTTAAACAATTTTTTATTATTAATAAGTTGTTAAAAAAGGCTATTATCAATGTATTTGTACAAAAAAAGGTTAATGGCCCTGTTCAAATATTTTCTCATTTGTCATTGATTAATTGAAAAAAAAATTTTACATAAAAATTGAAATTTAAAACTCATTTTTGGCATGATAAAATTGCAATTACATGCAATTTAAATAAAAAAAAATTTTGCCGCAATTGGAATCGAACATCGTTCGGTAAAATAACTGGCGAACCTTCTGACTATAGAGCTAGCATATTTTCATTTGCTTTGTTTACGTTTAGATATCGTAAGCTTCAGGCTTAGTAACAGAGGGTAGGGAATGTGCTTGCTCGTCAACTGTTCGAACTCGCAGTCTTCTCTGAAAAATAAGACGGAGATAGATAGATATATTTTGTGCTCTGTCTTGCTCGGAACAGATTATTCTGAAATTTGTAAATTTCTTGGTACCCTAAGGCTCCCTTTTTGTAGTGCATCCCTGAAAATTATCATTTTTCGAACGATTTCTCTGTTACCTACTCAATTTCAATTGATATCGAGCTTCGGCTTTTCGCCGCACAACGTGAGGGCGTAAAGTCAACTCCGGGAAACTTTCTGACTTCAGCCCAGCCTTAAATGGAAAACGCCCAAAAAGTAAAGTTGGGGAGCGTGACATCCGTCCCCAATAAGATGTCAGTCAAAGGCATTTTTACAATCTTTTAAATTTAAATCTTTAAATGTATAATCTTACTGATTGTTAATCAAATTCTGTGATGCCCAGATTTTTTATCTAATGATCATTTTAAAAATAAGCTTTATTCTTTTAATCTTTTAAAATTGGTTTTTTTTTCATTTTCAATCATTTAATATTCAATCAAATTATAAAAATTTTTCTTTTTTTTAATGTTTATCATTTCGTTGAACAGTCAACTTAAGAAATTAGG